CCCCCCCCCCTCAGATCCAAAGTACGCACTAGAAATAGGAACCAAGATGGCGCCTCCTCTTCAGACAACACACCCAAGACGAAAGATAAACATCTTGGCAGGAAGTTATGCATAAATGGATCTAACCAATGATAAGCTAGAATATATAAACTAAAATACTTTTCTGCAGTGCTATGCTTAAATATACATGTTCAGCTGCTAGATAAAACCATGTGAAAAGCAGAAGAATAAAACAGAAGTGCCTTGCCCTGAGTGTCTCAGTGTGAAATTCTATCTCCTAGAGGGTATACTCTATTGAATCAGGCCAGGCGGCAGCTATAAGTACGGAACCTTTGATCCGATCTAAATTTGTGAGCAGGTCCAAAACACTATCAATTTAGTTAAACTAAAATGATGGTGCTACAATTATTGTTCTACCTCTGGCGTGTGCAGGGTACGTACATACATACATACACACAGCCATGGCCAAAGATATTGGCACCCCTGCATTTCTGTCAGATAATGCACAACATTGCACAGAAAATTGTTGCAATTACAAACGTTTAGGCCAGTGGTGGCGAATCCATGGCACGCGTGCCAGGGAGGGTACGCGAGGCCCTTTCTGCTGGCACGCGAGCCAAGGTTCAGGCACCACAACATTAAGGCAGCCAAGCTGTCTGTCGGCAGGCAGGCGAGCGTCGGCAGGTGGGCGAGCGAGCAAGAGGAGAAGGGGGACAGAGCGGCAGGGGGTGGAGACAGAGGGAGATGGGGGCAGAGATGAGGACGGGAGGAGACGAGGTACTGAGCTGCATGAGACAGGGGGCGGAGACAGAGTGAGATCGAGGCTGAGATGAATAGACGGGGACGGAGCGGCATGAGACAGGGGGCGGAGACAGGGGGAGACGAGGCAAGACTGAGGCAAAGGCAGAGACCGCGATGGAGGAGGCGTCGCCAAGGTGCCAGTCAAGCGGCGAAGCTGAGACGATTGGGCGCAGAGGCAGCAGTGAAGGCTGGGCTTCCCGTGCAAGGTAGGAGCACTGTGCTGGCAGGGCCCAGCATAAATTATGCACAGCCCACCAAAGAGTCACAAGAAGGACCAGGCTTCCGTCGCTGGTCCCTGGGCTTTTTCGACTGAGGCAGGAAGGTACCCTTACCGCCCGTCAGATCCTTAATGATCTTATCCAAGGTAGCCCCGAATAGACGCTCCCCCGTAAAGGGGAGCTTCGTCAGAGCTTTCTTGGAAGCCTGGTCAGCCGACCAGCATTTAAGCCAGAGGAGGCGCCGAAGAGTAACCGCCGACACAGATAGCCTGGAAACCAACGGGGCCGCATCCAGGGCCGAATTACACAAGTATTGCAGACCCTGCACCACCTGCTCCGTCAGATCGACATAAGCAGGAGACACGTTCTCCTCCGCAAGACCCTGACGCAGCATCTTCATCCACTCAGTCAAAGTCTGGGAGACCAGGGCCGAAGCCAACACGGGGCGCAGCAGAGCCCCGGAAACCGAGTACATAGTACGCGCCACCGCCTCCGCCTTCCTATCCGAGGGATCCCGAAAGGAAGGCGAATCCTCCACCGGGATGACCGTAGCCTTGTTCAGGCGAGAAACCGGCGGATCCACCGCGGGGGGAGTAGACCACTTAGACAGGAAGGACTCCTCAAAAGGATAGCGAACCGAGAAGCGTTTGGGAACGGTAAACGTCTTGCTCGGGCGCTTCCACTCCTTGTAGACAAAATCATCAAAAAAAGGAACGTAAGGGAAAACCTTAGTAGAACGCCTACTCCTGTGCGTCCCAAAAGGAACCGGGAGCGCCGAAGAGCTCGGAGTCTCTTCAATTTTCAGCGTTTCCCGCACAGCGCGAACCAAGGCCGTGACCAATTCACGCTCCTGGACCATAAGGGTGGTCCCAGACTCGTCGTCACTACCAGACTCCGTCCGGGGAGGAGTCCCCCTGGTCGTGCTGCGCGGCCGCAGCAGAAATTTCCCCCTCTTCCTCAGAATACCCAGAAAGGACCGATGAGGGGGCCGGCAAAGTGCGCTTCCGTGGGGGGCGCGCTCCATACGGGATACAAAACCGTCCATGGTGGAGGAAAAAGCCTCCAAGGATAACAGTGCGCCAGCGGACCCCCCCAAAGACACCAAGGGAGACTGGGAGAGGGGCGCAGAAGCACAGGCTGCGCAAAGGGGGGATGTGGGAGAGGTCCCTGAAGAGAGGCCGCAGCCCTCACAGGGCACTGCTGTTAGTTTGTCCCCACAATCCATGTCCCCGGTAAATATATGCCAAAACAGAGCCCCAGGCAAGGAAAGAGACCCCGGCAGGCACCGCCCCCGTCCCTAGGCCTTTTGCCGCAGTTGCCCCTAGCAACAGACCCGCAGGCAGAAACAATGCAGAATACCAGCAGCTATAGAGGAAAACAAATCACAGCAATAGTCCATTATACTATAATGTTCTACTGCTGGGATTTGTAGTCTTCTATAGATGGTGGTATTCTCCATTGCGCTGTATAATTTATTATTGCTGGGATTTGTAGTCCTCTATAGCTGGTGTTATTGGAGAGGCCGGGTATGATGGTGGAATGGAGTGCAGGAATAGAGAGGACGGGTATGATGGTGGAATGGGGTGCAGAGGACGGGCATGATGGTGGGATGGGGTGCAGAGGACGGGTATGATGGTGGGATGGGGTGCAGAGGGCGGGTATGATGGCGGGATGGGGTGCAGGGATGGAGAGTACAGGTATGATGGCGGAATGGAGTGCAGGGATGGAAAGGACGGGTATCATGGTGGAATGGAGAGGATGGTGGAATGGAGTGCAGGGAAGGAGAGGGTGGGTATGATGGTGGAATGGAGTGCAGGGAAGGAGAGGATGGGTATGATGGTGGAATGGAGTGCAGGGAAGGAGAGGATGGGTATGATGGTGGAATGGATTGCAGGGATGGAGAGGATGGTGGAATGGGGTGCAGAGGATGGGTATGATGGTGGGATGGGGTGCAGGGATGGAGAGGATGGGTATGATGGAATGGAGTGCAGGGATGGAGAATACGGGCATGATGGAATGGAGTGCAGGGAAGGAGAGGATGGGTATGATGGTGGAATGGAGGGAAGGAGAGGATGGGTATGATGGTGGAATGGAGTGCAGGGATGGAGAGGGTGGGTATGATGGTGGGGTGCAGAGGACCGGTATGATGGTGGGATGGGGTGCAGGGATGGAGAGGATGGGTATGATGGTGGAATGGGGTGCAGAGGACTGGTATGACTGTAGGGGGAACAAAAAAAAACACACCTTTGTAAAAACTAAATTTAGAAAGACAAACTGTTTAACAAAAAGGATATCAGACACAACAACAGGCTTTTTCTTCTTATCAGGGCTGAAGGGATCTTTACGTTTTCGCCGCGATTGTAGTTCATCATTCCACAGCTCTGAGGATTAAAAGGAACAGAATATTAGATATGTCAATTTCAGCTTTAGGTTAGAACGTTCCTTATTATACTCTAACATTCGATTTCAGTAAATATACCCATCGGTAAGAGATATTTCTTCAGGCCAGTCATGTTGTGGACAGGGTCCTCTTCAGGTGAGTGAAGCTCTTTGATGATGCAAAGAGGGGCACTGACGTGATGATGTCCACACCACTCTCTGTATCAACATGCAGCAATGTGATGATCCCTCAGAGGATGGATACATGTTGCTACACTTAACAGTATGTCCTCAGGTCTTCAAGATTAAAGACTGCTGGTTACTGGTCAACCCAGAAAACATCTTGTGGAGGAAAGGAATAAATGCGGACAGTGCCGGATAGGAGGCAAGTACTGCAGACAAAGAAGTGTAACCACTTGAAGACCAGACACACAAAAGTAAAAGATCAAAAACAAAGCCAATATGGCTAAATAAAACACCACATTAATGAAAAAAAGTAGCATTTAGTAAGTATAAAACGGAGGGGACAGTATTTGCATTCCAGAACTACAAAGAATGTAACAAAAGATGTAAACTGGTATTCCGAGCAGCTAAAATTGAATGTGAGAAATATATCGCCAAAGTAAAAAGAACCCCAACATTTTTTTATCAGTACATAAACAGTAAAAAGGGGAGAAAGGAACAGATAGGCCCAATAAAAAGGACATAAATGGGTCGTTACTCACGACAGGGAGAGGGCCGAGGCGCTAAATACTTTATTCTCGTCAGTATTCACCAAGGAAACAGACGGGTTTAATGTACATGTTAAAAGACAAAATTTTACAAGAACTTCACTGGAGTGGTTGACTGAAACTGGGATACAACATAGGCTTAAACTACTAAATGCAAATAGAGCATTAGGACCTGATAATCTACATCCCAAGGTACTCAAGGAACTGAACAAGGTGATAACGAGACCATTGTTCCTCATTTTTAAGGAATCCGTAATGGCTGGTAGAGTGCCAAGCAATTGGCGAAGGGCTAATGTGGTACCTATACTCAAAAAGGGTCAAAACGCCAACCGGAGAACTATAGACCAGTTAGTCTGACATGCATAGTATGTAAACTGTTAGAGGGGAATTATTAAGGATTACTTAGTGGAATTAGTCAGGGATCATGGCATAAGAACCGATATGCAGCACGGATTTAGGAAGGATCGTTCTTGCCAGACCAACCTGCTGACCCTTTACGAAGAGGTAAGTAGAGATCTGGATGGGGGGGGCCGTGGATGTAGTATATCTGGACTTTTCCAAAGCATTTGATACGGTGCCACATAAACGCTTGTTATACAAGCTAAGGGCTATGGGCATAGATGAATTAGTGTGCACGTGGATAGAAAACTGGCTACAAGAACATGCAAAGAGTATCAGTTAATGGCCCCTTCTCAGACTAGGCGGAGGTCATGAGTGGCGTACCCCAGGGTTCTGTGCTGGGTCCGATGCTTTTTAACCTATTTATTAATGATATCAGGAAGGGAGGGAGTAGCCATGTCTCAGCGTTTGCTGATGATACGAAAATCGGGAGGACAATAGACACGGATTCAGACATTGTAACATTACAGGAGGACCTGGAGAAAATCGGGGAGTGGGCAACTGTATGGCAGATGAAGTTCTATGTCGATAAATGTAAGGTAATGCACCTTGGAGTTAAAAATAGGCAAATGGACTATACACTTATGGGTGTGCCACTCGGGAAGTCAGAAATGGAGAAGGATTTGGGGGGTCATTATAGACCGCAGACTGAATAGCTTGCAGTGCCAGGCTGCTGTAAACAAAGCAAGTAGAGTCCTGTCATGCATTAAGAAGGGAATGTCTTGTAGGGACAAGTCTATAATTTTGCCACTTTACAGATCATTGGTTCGGCCCCACCTGGAGTATGCGGTCCAGTTTTGGTCACCAATACTCAGAAAGCATGTCCTTGAGCTGGAAAAAGTCCAGAGGTGGGCAACCAAACTAAATATGTTCTTTGGAGGTTAGGAGGAGATTAAGGGGAGACATGATCTTCTTGTATAAACTATTTAAAGGGTGACAGCAACATTATTAACAAACTCTTTACGGTTAACTCCATAACAAAAGGCCAGAGGGCAAAACCAAACATTAGTGGAAAAAAAAAATTCAACACACAGGGCGCAAGGGGTTCTTCACAGTCAGAGCGGTAAAGGTCTGGAACTCGCTGCCGCAGGAAGTGATCTCAGCTAAGAGTGTGGAATCATTCAAGAAACTCCTGGACGAGTTCCTCGGAGAACATAACATACAGGGGTACAGGTACTCCTAAGAGCGAAATCATACATGGACTAATACACACATCTGCTCAAACAAATGCATACACACAATAGGTTGGACTTGATGGACTTATGTCTTTATTCAAACTCAAATACTATGTAACCAGGTGTTCACACCCCCTTCCTGCCCAGGCCATTTTTCAGTATTCAGCGCTGCAGTACTTTTGACTGAAATGTATTCCGTCATGCAGCGCTGTACTGAAATGAATTTTATACAATTTTTTGGTGACGGATAGAGCTTTCTTTTGGTGGTATTTATTCACCACTGAGTGGGTTTAATTTTTTACCATATAAAATGAAAAAAAATTAGCATACATTTCGAAAAGAAACATGTTTTCCCTATGTTATGTTAAAAAAAAATTTATTCTTACCGATATTTTTGGTAAAATATAAAAAGATGGGGTCCCGTTGGGTAAATAGACAAACAAAACTTTAAAATTGCGTGCGCAAAGAAAAAAAAAAAAGAAAAAAAAACATACCCAAAGTTGACCGTAGGCGACGCTTTAAAAGCTTTTACTGCTCATCAGTTTAGTGTTAACAGTGATTAAAGGCCCTAAAATTATTGCCCGCACTCAGACATTCGAGGTGATATGCAACGCGTGGCGCAGTCGCCATTTTCACACGTAGGCACACCCGACGTATGTTTGTAGGACTTTACTTGGTTTTTTTTTGGTAACTTAAGTGAAAATAATGTAATTAAATTTTTTTTTAAATTAACTTTATTGCTATCACATAGGGGGCTAAGAAACCCCCTATGTGATTTCAGAGAACGAGAAGGACATCAGAGGGCAATTGTGTGACGATCTCCTGCTGTTCTCCGTTGACAGAGCCGCCCTGTAGGTCCCGCACCCTCAACGGGGATCGGCCGCACACATTATACAAGCGATCCAGAGGCTCTACAGCCACCGGACCGGGTGTATGTAAACAGCCATCACTGGCTGTTTATAATTTATGTGGTTTTCCCCACTCGCACCACCCAGCGGCTTGCATGAGCGGGACAAGTGAGGGCGTCGAAAAACGCCCACCTCACATCCAAGAAGCTCCCGTGCGGCAGTTTATTTACAACGGCTGGCAAGTGGTTAAGCTTCCACGAGTACTTAAAATAAATATTGTGAGTTGACAAGTTCTTTTGGAGAATTATGAGGTGAGTGATTTTCACTCAGCCTCATAATCTGAGCCGACCTGTGACAATGAGACTGTCACCGGTCGGCTCAGTAGATCGGGAAGCGAGTGAACGCATACCGTCGTTCGCTCACTTCTCGATCTATCCGTGCAGAGAGCCGTGACGGTCACTCACTGCTCCCCGCAGGGATTCCCCCCTCCCCTGTCCGATCCTCCAGCGTACGGACGGGGGTCGGGAACAGCTGGCTCTGCCTCTGGGGAGGCAGAGCCAGCTGTCACTCACGCAGCTGGGTGGATCCAACAGCATTGTCGGGATCCGTTCCGGCGTCTCAGTATACCGAAAGCTGTAGCTCGCGGTATACTGAGCTTTGGGTGACAGGACGACGCTAGTTTGTGTTCTCCCGTTACCCTTAGGAGAACTATGGGGAAAAGCCCTGACCCCATAGTTCTCCTTTAAGTGTCTCAACACTCTGGAATTTGCTTAAATGAGTTCTAGTAAATCTAAAACACAAGCCAATATCATGGCATTTGAAAAATATTTTGTTTTTTGTCAAGCAAATGCGAAATATTTATATGCAATATTCTATTACAGTAACAAGTATATAGCAGATACAATTATCAGTCAGATTTCCATTTCACGGAGTCAAACTTACCCGATGTAATATCAATACTGTGACGGTCTTCCTCCAATCTGCGAATCTTCTCCTCTAGTTCACTTTGAACAGTGTCGTACAGTAAAAGCTTCTCACTCTGCAAAAGAACATAAGATTGGGTTTGCAGACAAATAAAAGCTGTACGATTAGAAAAAAGGAAAAACCCTCAAGCCAAACTCCAGCTTCACAGTTTTAGTAAAAATCACACACCCTTTGCAGTGGTGGTCAGGAGGGAAAAAAATAAAAAAAATATATATAACTCAGGTCACTCCACTTTTCTCTACGCCGCAGCTTTAAATAGCATTAGTGTTGTTACAATGGCAGCAGCTTTTTTCTGGGCCGCATGACACCTTTGATGGTCAGGCGGTCAGAAAAGTCCCCTGTGGCTCCCAGCATTACAGGGGGTTTTATTACAACACAGGCTTCCTCTCAATCATTGCCCAAAAACCCACCCTTATCCTGTCCTCTCTACACTCTGCTCCTTCCCTGGTAATATTGGCACATTTCTAGTGCAAATCTATGCTAGTCTGTACAGCCCTGCACACCTATTTTATCATAACATTTTTTGCATCTTTGCACAGTTCTCTCTGCATGCCCTCTCATCCTCTGACACAACCGCATTAATATTCAGGTAAACAGGCCGCCTAATTTGCCCTTTAGAATTCTTTAGGAATATATGTGTGTGGAGGACAAAAAAGTACACATCAATATTGATTTGCTCGAGAATACAAAGTTACCTCACAGTGTTGGCGGGCAGCTTGGATTTCACAGTCATGTTTGTTCTTTACAGACTCTAGGCACAACTCTCTGTAAATTCCTAAACAGAATTGGAAAGATACATTTGCCAAAAAACTGCATTTCAAGTAAATATGTACATAAAACATAAAGAGAACACATATGGCCCCTTTATGAAAATACCAAGTGATAAGCCTATTTTTCAGTGTTAGGCCAATGATTTTGTAGATTACATCCGGAGGTAATTTACTATTGGTCCAAGTATCATAACTTTAGACGATCTTCACATACATATCTTCCTGCAATCCATTTCCTACATATATCTTGGGCAGCAAAGTAATTAGCATGTTTTGCGGAACTAGTATTACATCTTACAATACCAGCAAAGTCCACATCAGCATGCTGTGATGAGAAGCACTTTGGAGCTGGGGAACGGGTCCTGGAAGTAAGAAGCACTTCTCATTGGTCAGCGCCATGTGATTGTACTGACAAATGTGCGATTGCCATTTGCAAGCATTGAGCATTCCATACTGCTGGACTGGAAAGTCTTGTGTGCAGTCTGCTACATCGGCTGGCGGGAACTTCAGGCATGCAAGTGCAGCAGCGGGGTCAGGGGAGCTGGTAGGGTGCTGTGGGCAAGTTCATTTTTTTCACATCTTGTAAGAAAGTGAACTTTATATGAGAGTTGGATTTATTTTGATATTCCATTCAAAATACTGTGGCTTACACTGTGACTATCATATCCTTCATTACTCAGGAGGGGACTGCAAATTATGCTTTCTGAGGGCCTACACAAGTATTAAGTCAGTGACATCAAAGCTCTTGAACTGCATATTTCGTTCTCGGGTCAATGTCTCAGAATTTATTGAAGCTACTGGATTAGCATAACATCCAGGTAACTAGATTTTTAAGAGACCTAAGCAACGATGGCTTGCATATTTTAATCAGCATATGTTTTATGGTAAGGTCGCTGATATTACAAAGCAGGGCTTTTGACTCATTTGCATGGTTTATAAAAAAGGTGGTACAAGCTGCATTCTCCTTGAAGACACAAGTAATACCATTTTCACATCTCATAAAAACAGAATTTAATTTACCTGCCACCTTTGTCCGGATCTGCATGTTCTCCTGCAAAGCTGCAAGTGGTTCTAGGTACTCTGGAGCTTTCCCAGCCATTACTTCTTGTAATTTGGCATCTACTTGACTCAATCTTTCTTTATAAAGTCTATAAATGCACAAAACAAAAGTGGTTAACAATATAGCCAGGCAACTGTATTCTGTAACTTTTAAACTATTATTATTTTCAGAAGCAAATAAAAAAAAAGAGCAGACAGAACTGGCAATTAGTCAGTAAAGGTTCATTGCAGTGAGGGAGGAGAAAGCATGTTTTCTATGGCGATGAACACAACTAAATGCAAACCTTTAATCTAAAGCACAAATATTAATGTACTGTGTTAACTGTAAAACGTATCCTTTCAGGCATAATTACAGATTAAAGCTGAAATGGCAGAGCACACACACACACACACACACGGTTTGCAACCATATGAAGCTGCACTTGGTTTCCACTTGGTGACTATCACCCTCAACGTATACAGCCGAGAGGAGATCTCTGTGCTGATGAGCAGAGAGATCTCAGTGTAGAGGAGTCGCTGACCAACTGCTCACAGCACATGCAAGTCTTTACACTACAGATCCCAGAGAGTTGCAACAGCAGCTAGGATTCTTTTTACAGGTTATTCAAAACTCCCTATATACAGTATGTATCATGCGTTGCTGCGTAGCTGAATCACCATGATGGCCATAAACACTTAATGTGCATATGGAACACCCACTGCTCAGCAGTACCATGTCCCTCTCATTGTTGTCCTTGTTAACGTCCAAAACAGATCTATCATCCATTGCTCAGCAACAAAATATTACCTGCAATTAAAATACATTTCTTCGGTCACGTAAATCATCGTACATAGATGTGAGCAAACTGAGGAAAATTTCAATACTGCAGGAAAGGAGAGACAGGCTGGTCCCTAGACACAAACCTAGACCACTGCAGGGATTAGTACAATTTATTTTCCTAGAGTCCTTTAACCATTCACATTAGTATGTCCGTGGAGCGAGCCCATTTAAAAACAAACAGACTCCCAGCAACTGTTTACATTTGTAGAGCCGGCGGCCGGCTTTACAATAAAAGCTATACAGGGAGTCCCTGGGTTACATACAAGTCAGGGACTTTAGATTTGTACTTGGAGAACTATGGGGTTAGGGCTTTTCCCCATAGTTCTCCTTAGGGTAATGGGAGGATTCAAACCAGCGTCCTCCCGTCACCCTAAGCTCAGTATACCGCAAGCTACAGCTCGCAGTATACTGAGACGCCGCAGCTGAAGCGGATCCCACCAGTCAGCATTGGAGGATCGGAACGGGGAGGGGGGAATCCAGCCCCTCCCCTGTCACGGCAGAGAGCCGTGACAGGATCGAGAAGTGAGCGAACGCCGGTATGTGTTCGCTCACTTCCCGATCTACAGAGCCGACCTGTGACAGTCTCATTGTCACAGGTCGGCTAGAACTATGAGGTGAGTGAAAAGCACTCACCTCATAGTTCTCCTTTAAGTTGAATTTGTATGCAAGCCGGAACAGGTACATTTTTTAAGTGCAACTCCAAAATTTTTTGTTTTGGATAGCATAGGGAAGGGTCACGGTTCTTTTGCTGTGTTCCTGTTCAGAAGATAATATAATTTTTTTTAAAACACAGCAAAAAAAGTTTTCTATTTTTAATTTTATAAAAACTTTGTTTGCATTTTTAGTTTATTTATTTAACTTTTTCTTTACTTTTTTTTAGTCTTTTTAATTTACTTTTTTTAAACTTTTTATATTTTAATGCTGGGAGCCATAGCCAGCCTGCTATTGGATATTTCAAATTGAAATAGCCTATAGCAGGCTGGCTATTGCATCGGCCTACTGCCTGCTGTCAATCAGCAGAGGAGGGGCCTGAAGCAGAAAGTTCTCTATCAGGTCCCCCCATGCTGATTGACAGCAGTGAGCGGGTGCAATAGCCAGCTTGCTATTGGCTAAGAGGTAGCCGGCACATCAGCGGAAGTACGTGGGGCATCGGCGGTATGCAGCGGTCTGTGTCCCCGCTGCCTCCGCCAACACAGGCGCGGAGAGCAGCGGGGATTTGAAAGGACACAGGCCAGTGCAGCCACAGTTCTCCTAAATGTACCGGCAGCTGCCGATACATTTAGGAGAACTGTGGACCCCGTTCGTAAGGTGCCATTCTACATTGCTGGGACTTGTAGTCCTCTATAGCTGATGGTATAATGTATTGCTGGGATTTGTAGTCCCTCTACAGCTTGGAGTCAGTGGCAGAACTACCAGGGTCACACCGGTCGCAGTTGCGACTGGGTTCCGTCACGATCCTAAAATCATTAGTCTGCATTGTTTTAGAAAAAAAACTGTTAAATGACCAAAATGGGATCTGTGCATCTCTATTTTAACCCTTCCCCCTATGTTGAGAAAGGTAGTTTCCCTGTCGCCATATATGCCACGGCCACACCACATCAGGGATCCATGTCTGGTCTTTCTCCGTTGCACTACAGTTAGTTTTGCACTCAAATGCATTTGGCCAGAGAACAGTTATTATTTATAGCAGAATAGTGGTTGAAAAGAGATGGTTTGCGGGAAGACCCCAACACATAAAACAAAAATTTAAAACAAAAATTTGGTAAAGTGGAATAAGCAATATCAAAAATAAATGTGCCTTTAACTATGCAGCTAATCCAACTACCTTGAACTCGATTTTAATTGGCTTGTATGAGTAACAATACTCTATATCCATTTTTCACGTAGTATAGCCAAATGTGCTCAAATCACAACATCCAGCCAACCCAACAGGAACTCCGACAGCTTGACTTGACATAAGGTAACCTAGTAAATACTTACTGATCTTTAAGATCCGTAAACTGCTTTTCGAGGTTGGACATTTCATCGAGGCATTCCATTCGCCGCCTCTCACAGTCTTCATCATCCATCTCTATAAGATAATTAAATTTCTCAGTAATTTCCTTTGATTTTTCATTATTAAATCACCAAGATCCTCATTTAATATTTTTTCCTAACATTTAATAAAAAAAAGTTCAGTAATAAAATCCACATAAAGCATATTGAGCCAATGTGACTGCTTGCTCTGAAGATAAGAGGTATATCAAAAGTAACTAGTGAAATTGCAAAGCCAAGGATGTACTTGAAACAATTGCTTAAACTGGCAAAACACTTCAGGCAGTGTACTGGAAAATAAAAAGAAAGACAGCGCCCTTGTCATGGAAGTTGAATTATATTAACCAGCTGTCATGTTCGGAAGGATGGCACTCTGTACCAAGAAGAGAAGATGAGGCATGTTTATAATGTCTAATGGTCCATGTTTTGGGCAGGGGAAGGCTAATGGAAGGTAGCACTGGCTGACAATAGAGCCAAACTCAGGTAACAAGATTGATAGAAGATGCTCCTCCTTGGGCACTGCATAGCTATAATTTGTTGAGACGTGCATTGAATCATCACAATAGAAATCATTTGCACAGATTAGCTTGAGGTCTATACAATTGGTATTCTGGAATTTCTGTGGCTGTTCAAAATATTGTGTATTCAAAAAGGTAATCCTAGGAACTATTTGTGAGATTTGCACATGCATGCGTTTAGTCAAATGAAAAGCAATAATCCTTTACTTCCAAATCCACAGGTAGTCCATGAAGGGTTGTATGGTAATACAAACTGACCTACAGAGCCATGAGCACAGAATGCCCCCCAGTGCACCGCAGCAGTCATGTGCAAATGCCAACTTTCTCAGAAATCGGTATTTAGAAATGCATCGGCGCCCATAGGCTGAATAGAACACCTGCTTTTTTGTGAGTTTGAGCAGCTAGGGGGATCTTTGCCCCATACTTACAGATCTTTCCCAGCTTAAAGGGGAGATTACTGCTTATTCCATTTCACTGCAGGCTGCCTAAAAAGGATGACTCAGATTTGTTTTAAAAGTATTAACTTGGCACCTGTACTGCCATCTTCTGGGTGGGAACAGTATTGCAACAGTTTCAACCTCATCTTCTAGTTTTAGACAGAAAAGCTAATTTAGGATGGGCCAGTCATCACATGGCAAGTGTCAACAGCATTGCTAAGAATTAATGGGGAGTTTTAATAACCTTAGGCTCCGCCCAAAGATAATGCTATACAATGAGGTAGAGTAGAAGCATGCGCTCACACCAATCACCAAGGGTAAGTGGACAAGAAATTAGGCACTACCAAAAGGATAGGCTTTTGATGGACGGTAAGACATTTGGAAAAAAGAAATGCAGAGGATTTAAAAGAAAGAATGCACAGCAACATTAAGGGCCAGTTCACACCATATGCAGTCTGTTTATTTTGACTGCTGCAGTCAAAATACATCACAATGCTTTCCTATGGGCTTTCTTGTGCCTAATTCACACCATTGCAGTCCGTTCAGATGCAGTCAGAAAAAGTATTGCTTGTCCTATTTTACGTTCCAGAGCAGACATCAATTCCGGACCGAAAAGTAGATCTCCCGAGAAGGGTCAATTATATATCTTTAATTTAGAAGCTGCATCCCCCTCCCACGTTTTAAGCCAAAGGGCTCGACGGGAAGTATTTATAAGGGCCGAACAAGCTAGCCGACATTCTTACCGATTTAGCCAATGCGTCAGCTATAAAACTGATGGCCTTAAAACAGCATAGGAAGAGAGTCTAATAACTGATCTCCTGGAGTGCCTGCCAAAAGATGAGCTTTAAGTTGCGACAACCAGAAATCTACATAGTTACATAGTATTTGAGGTTGAATAAAGACATTAGTTCATCAAGTCCAACCTATTAGGATCTCATTCTAGGAGTAACTGTACCCCTGTATATTGCGGTCCCTTAAGAAATCGTCCAAAAGTTTCTTGAACAATTCCACATTATTTGCTGAAATCACCGCCTGTGGCAGTGAGTTCCAGACCCTAACTGATCTTACTGTGAAGAACCCCCTTCGCCCCTTGTGCTGGAATTTTTTTTCCACCAATTTTAGGTGGTGGCCTCTAGTTTTTGTAATGGAGTTAATTTTAAACAGTTTATCGCTAATGTTGCTACCACCATTGAACATTTTGTACATGGAGATCATATCCCCCCTTAATCTCCTCACCTCCAATGTGAACATGTTTAAATTTAGTAGCCTTGTCACGTAGCTCTGGTCCTCCATACCCCTAATTAGTTTGGTTGCCCTCCGCTGGACTTTTTCCCAACTCAAGGACATCTTTTCTTATTACTAGTGACCAGAATTGGACCGCGTACTCCAGATGAGGTCGAACCAATGATCTATAAAGTGGCAAAATTATAGACTTGTCCCTGCAATACATCCCCTTTTTAATACAGGACAAGACCCTGCTAGCTTTGTTTACAGCAGCCTGGCACTGCAAACTACCTTTCAGTTTGTGGTCTACAATGACCCCCAAATCCTTCTCCATTTCTGACTTCCCCAGCGGCATACCCATAATTGTATAACCCATTTGTTTATTTTTAATTCCAAAGTGCATTACTTTGCATTTATCGACATTAAACCTCATCTGCCACATTAATGCCCACTCCCCTATTTTATCCAGGTCCTCCTGTAATGTTATAGTGTCTAAGTCCGTGTCTATTACCCTCCCTATTTTGGTGTCATCCGCAAACACGGAAATATCGCTGTTAACACCCTCCCCGATGTCATTAATAAATAAGTTGAACAATATGGGACCCAGCACAGAACCCTGAGGCACACCGCTCATTACACTAGCCCAGTCTGAAAAGGTGCCATTTACAGATACCCTCTGGACACGTTCCCGTAGCCAGTTCTCTATCCACGTACATGCCACCTCATCTATGCCCATAGCTCTCAGCTTGGGTATCAAAAGCCTTTGAGAAATCCAGGTATACCACATCTACCATCTGTGTTATTTTTACCTATGAGATGTTTCTTGCTACACAAGTGGTCACTAGAGCTGACTTTAAATTGGAAAGTGCCAAATCCCAAGCACGCTTGAGGAGCACATCAATCTTTTTATCAATAGGATCCTTCAGGATGCCCATGTCGTCAAAGGCTAAATCTGATTTCTTAGGTTCCCCTTTGCCATCCAATTTGGGATTTTTATTCCAACACCCTCGTCAAAGGGGAAACTACGTTTTAAACTGTTGGACAAAAGGGCTTTCTCTCTGGCTCTGTCTATTCTCTTAACACTGAATCAGAGAGAATTTTATGTACCGGAGATTTTTTTCTTCTCTAGGCCCTGATACATAAGATCATGCCTGAAAAGCGGCACCTTTTCTTCATGTATTTCCAGGGTCTCATAAATGGATTTTGAAAGGTCATCCACATCTTCCAGAGATAGATTAAATCTAGAACTATTGGAAAAGTCCTCCCTCCCACTACACCCCTCAGAAGAGTCTGTCCCAGAGCGATCCGAAGCGTCCTGTTCGGAGGATCTAAGGGATACATCATGTGGGGGCGGCCTTTTAAAGCAACGGTGGCGTGTTTCCTGTTTGAGGCGAGGTACCTCCACATCTCACATGCTGTCCTGGAAGACATGGAGGGTAAGAAGAAATAAAGAAAAAATAAGTAGGGGATAACCAAGCTTCAAGCTTGATTATCCTCCACTGATGGTGTAATTGGTAACCGCTGTTCCCTGGGACAATGCTGTGCCTGTAAGAATCAACATTCTGGGATGACTACAGCGTTGAGGATGAATACAGAGACATTTCATGGGCCAAAGTGCAATATGGGCCCCATCTCCTGGGAAACTACACATCAACTTCCTAACTGGTTTCTTGAATAAATTCAACAATGACAGGAGAGAAATAAGTGCAAGGTTTCCTGCAGAATAGGAATAGTGGAGGAAAAACCAAACGGCAGTAACCAGTGTTTTAGAGTTCTAAAAGCTGAACCTTAGGAAGGTTTGTCATTTTTTTCTCAACTCTTGTGCGCTTGCCCATGACAAAAATCGCCATCACTATGAGTGCGTGGGGAGGGTGTATCTGACACTTTACAACACAGAAGCGCCCACAGCAGAGCTCTGCAGCTCACACACGAGGACACTTCCAAGACTGCTGGCATGTGACTGATGCCTGCTAATGACATCAGCTCACTACACAGCGTGTAATGGCAACAGAGCGCATCCACCACTCAAGAACTGACCCACAAATGGAGCTTCCATAAAAGGAGGAGCCGCAAGTTGGAGGATGGTAATGAAAGAAGGGATGTCTTTACATAACAGTAGAGGATCATTGGAGAGGCAAATGGAAGTAATCATACATAAATGGGCTGACCGCTAGTTTATACCCAATCATGAGAGCTTCTTTAAATAGTTCTCTTTGCATAAAGCATTTGTTCTAAAGACAAAGTCACCTAGAATCTGCCATGACTTGAAATCCTATCCATAAGGGTTCATGCACACGGGGCGAGCACGGTTTACGTGGACCGTCGCACATAACGTTTGTGATGTTTACAGGAGTCCAACACAAATATACGCTATTGGGCACCACCACTGCTCAGGGTCGCTTCATCAACAATGAGTAGCCAGAGGCACATGTGCTACTGATCATTAGTGTTTACATGTTGGCCCTTAATGAGCCATTGACCATTCATTCATGACTAGATGAAGGCCGCTCATACTTCCCCTTATCCTGCCACCGTATGAATGGCCCACTCAGGGCTGACACAAACATTATTTTTGTGCAGGTGCCTGGTGCAAAAAAAGCTCCCCAATCCTGCGCAAAACTGTCACACAACCCTCCTGGGACAATCAGGTGCACCCAGAGCATTCCTGCCCCACAGCTACTCATCACAAAGGGGCAGGCAATGCCCGTGGATCAGGAGAGGGGGTGTCAGTGACATTTTGCGCAGCCTGGCCGAACTCAGGTAAGCCTGGTTTAGACCAAGCCACCACACGTCATCAATAATGTGTATGGTTGTTATATTGTGTATTGTTGATATTGAGAGGTCAACCCTGAGCAGCACCAGTAACCAATAGGCTACCATTATAACAGCCAGAAATGGCCGTACAGCATACCAAGAATGCTTGGCGAAGTGGAAGCCGGAAGTTGTGGTTCCCGGCTGCTGGGTCTGCGCAGTGTATTGGGCATATTTCTCTGTCCAGAAGTCACAGGTGTGTCGCACAGCTGCATGCAGCCCGTCTATACAAACCAATGACAAGCAGGCTGAAGCTGGGTCTGTACAGGTATATAGCCATTGCTTACTGCCCAGAACACAAGGAAATGAGATCTTGGTGATCAGCTGATGTCCTGAACACAGAGGGTCTGTATTAAGTGCAGTGTGTAGGCTCTGGTCTGCATGTAAACAATGGGATTTGCGTATATACCTCCACAGCCACTACTTCAGCCGGTCATTGATTTGTACAGTTTGACTGCAGCTGTGACTGTGACTCCGGGGCACAAAAATACCTGTGATCTGTATGCTGTACAGCCATTTCCAGCACTTGAATGTGGATGAAAAGCATTAAACATCAAATACAGTCCCTGTGCAGGACCTCAGGTATTTGGTTAGTGCAGGTATTTTTAACGCAGTTTCTAGATTGCGGAGCTTTGTCCATCAGTGTGCATGGGTCCATAAGATATAGAACAGTACAGCAGAGTTCTGATCTGTTTTAAAAAAAAAAGAAAAAAAGTACGCATTACGGATATAAACGCCAGCGTATTTTGCACTCGTGTGCATGACCCCTAAAGAAATCATTTGGGAGAGGTAGCCCTGGTGGTGTTGGCCCACCATCATCAGCCCATTGGGTGGAAGTAAGTAACCCCCAGCACTGTCCTGTATAAATGACACGTCCATTGAACTATGGTGAGTGAAGATGGCATAGCACTATGGGCAGAGGATGCATCCCGGCTCCCTACCATTACCCGAGCTGTCTCCCTCCTCGCTGCCGCTGGAGCTGTCGGAGTCCTCCTCCTCGGAACTGCTGCCCTCATTCTCCGGGTAATCCACCTCCATGTCATTGTGGTTACTCTCCTTCTTCTCTCGGGAATGAACCGGCATTTCCGCCCCACCGACCGACTACCACAACCAACTGATTTGCCTCCCTCCGCTGCGACCTCTCAACCTATGCACGCTCAAGCCCCGCCCACGGCCTATTTTCCAGCACTTTGATTGCCCGGGCCGGCCAACTTCTCTCCGATTTGCTGGAGACGGCCTTTCTCCAGCTCAATGCCTAGTTTGCCTGAGAGCGTAAGGCGTGCCTTGCTCGGCGAAATGGAAGCCGGGAGTTGTGGTTCCCGGCTGTTCGCTCTGCGCAGTGTATTAAGGGAAGATTTGGAAGAAAAACTACAAGGTCCGACGAGCCATGCGAAACAGCGTGGCTTTCGGGCGTCTTATAAACAGAGGGAACAGCGGGCTAGAGCAATCAAATGCCAATTTTGGGGGAATCTGTGGTGGTGGGTGCTTGTTTCAGGCACGGGGGAAGATGTGTGAGGCTGAGGCATATTGCACAGCCCGATGGTGCATGCTGCACTGAAAGGGTTATTAAGTAGCCATTGTGCCTATTAGAATTTTCGTCTTCACTTACCATACATACCATAGCTGTGCAAAAGCCTTCTGTCCTCTTAAATGTTCATCTTTAAAGCAGAAGTTCTATTAAAAATGACCGGTCCATAATAAAAATAAAACCAGCTATTGCTGCAATATTCATCCTCAGTCCAGTCTTTTACCCTGCAGTACTTTATCTCAGCCACTAGATGTCCTCAGTCTGATGGCCAACATCATACAACCCACTTCCTCTACCCCTGGTCATCAAGTCAGATATGTGTCTGTGTTTTCGTGCTGTATTGTTAAATCTAGCTCGTACTTTTTTAGGTCATTACCTTTAGATCCTGCCAGTTCCCCACGGTTCCTGTTTAATTTTTGGCCCTGCCCAGCGCTCCTGGGTGATTGACAGCAGCTCCCAGCTTCTGGTCCACAATGCACGCCGTTGTACTTCACTAATGTGTGTGATGTGGATGGAATGCTACCTGCTTCTTTACCCAACATGCCCCCTGCACAGTCCTTCTTTGTCATTGACAACGGCTCCCAGCTTCTGTAACTCAGGACAGACAGGAAATGTACTTATAGTTACATGGTATTTGAGGTTGAATAAAGACATAAGTCCATCAAGTCCAACCTATTTGTGTATGTGTGTATGGTCCTATTGGTGTGTAGTATGTATAGGTCCCTTGTGTGTTATCAATTTTAAGAGTACTTGTACCCCTGTATATTATGGTCCCTGAGGAAATCGTCCATTTGCCTCTTGAATGATTCCACACTCTCAGCCGAAATCAAAGCATGTGGCAACGAGTTCCAGACCTTGACCGATCTAACTGAGAAGAACACCCTTCGCCCCTTGTGCTGAAATTTTTTCTCCACCAATTTTTAGGCCACGTTCACATTGAGCGATTTGCAAATCACGCGCTTGTCACGCGATTTGCATTTTGCGCGATTTCGCGCAAATGCTTGCATCAAAAACCATTGAATCGCGGCAAAATCCGCTCCAAAAAGGGTCCTGCTGTAGCGACACACGACCCGCGACAGCAGGACCCTTTGCCCCATTGCAAAGCATTGAAATAAATAGCCGCGATATCGCAGGAATTACCGCGCGATAAATCGCTCAATGTGAACGGGGCCTAAGTGATGGCCTCTCGTCCTTGTCATCGAGTTAATTGTAAAAAGTTTGCTGCTAATGTTACTATCCGCGGTAAACATTTTATACATGAAAATCATGGCCCCCCTCAATCTCCTTAATTCCAAGGAGAACATGTTTAATTTTAAAAAGCCTGTTCTCATAACTGAGGTCCTCCATCCCGTTTATGATTTTGGTTGCCCTCCTCTGGACCCTCTCCAGTTCAAGGACATTCCCCCCCTGTTCACTGGTGCCCAAAACTGGAGACCTCCCTGTGCACAAATCTGTTTCCCTTTCAGATTTTCCGAGGGGAGCTCCCATTAGTGTGTAATCCATTTACTTGTTTTTAACCCCAAAGTGCACAACTCTACATTTGTTCAATCAATGGACTTTAATACTTAGGCCTTATTCACACTATTAAGAGCCGGCCCGTACAGATCTGTGCTGCGTGCACGGCCGTGTCGGGCCGTTCCCGGAAAGAAAAGGTGCTGCGTGTGATTGCACGCAGCAGCCTGTTCTTCTCTATGGGAGTGCGCCGCCGTACGCTCACCCAAACTGCATATCTGTGCAGGTGTCCGTGCTCTGACCCAGACAGGATCCATCCTGTCTGCGTACGGGTAGGGACACCCGCACGGATGTGCAGTTCGGGTGAGTGAACGTCCGCGTACCCCCCTAGAGAAGAACAGGTTACTGCGTGAAATTACACGCAGCACCTGTCCTTCCTGGGAGCGGCCCAATACGGCCGTGCAAGCCACACGGATCTGTACTGGCTGGCTCTTATCAGTGTGAATGAGGCCTTAGACTGGGTACTTGGTAGCAAGAGCATTGTGTAGAGCTACAAACATTCGTAGACCCTTGGGGAAAGAGATCTTTCTGGATGGTTGGCAAACGCTGATTTTTTTTTATCTCTGCTCTTATTTCCTGATGGAAATGCTGTGGCGGGATCTTAACCCTTTCGCTACCAAGGCCCTTTTTCCGTTTTTTGCACATAATCCACATTTTTGGCCTTAAAAATCACTTAAAACCCCCAAAACACATAAATATTTTCTGAAAGTCAACACCCTGTAGAATAATATGATGGCCGTTTTTTATGTTGCACGATATCGGCGCAACTCTTTATCAAACCCCCAAAAGTGAAAAATGCACTTAAGTTAATTTATGTGCCCCAAAACACAATGATTAACCAATTTTTTGGGTAAAATATAAAATATGAGGGTAACGACAAGTAAATAGATACCCAACATGCCCAGCTTAAAAATTGTGTGCGTCCATAAAACGGCACCAAAATTCAGTACCCCAAAAAGGCCATAGACGACGCTTTAAAAGACCCAACAGGTCATCAGTTTAGGGATACTCATACATGTGGGCCCCAGAATTATTGCTCTCACTCTGGTGGGCATAGCGATACCCAACATGTGTAGCGCGATCAATGTTTTTGTACATAGGCGCACCCGACGAGTGGGACTTTAAAACATTTTTTAAATTATTTTTACATTTATTTTATTCTATATTATTCTTTACAACTGTTTTTTTAAAACTTTTCTTTAACTGCTATAACATAGAGGGGCTTACAAGCCCCCCATGTGATAGCATTTTGGCACAGACAGGTCCTCTTTAAGGTGACACTGGGGGTCCAGAAGACCCCTAGTGTCACCTTTCCACTTTAAATAAGCTATTGAAGGGCAGATCGCACTTCAATAGCTTATTGCTGGGCTTCAGTAGCCGAGCAATGACAGCTCAGGGACCGGAAGTGATGCAGTCCGCGTCGCTCCCTGTCCCATAGAATGGGGAGGAGAAAGGCGAGCGGATATTTGCTGGGCCGTGCTGCCACCGACATACTAGGTACTTCCGGGGCCGCAAAAGGGTTAAGAGAGCTGTGCATCAAGAAATGCCCAAAAACCTCAATGAACTCAGGCAGCGCTGTAAAGAAGAGAGTGCCAAAATGCAATAGACTGATAAAGTCATACAGAAAACAATTACTTCAAATTATTACTGCTAAAGGTGGTTCATCAAGCTATTGATACAGTAACACTCTCCCCTCCATCATTCCATACCCATATCCTACACTCAGCTCCTTTCCCCCGTAGCCCTCCCGTCTGTCTGTCCAGATCCGGGCCCCCAGGGAAAGTTCTTACCCCCCATCTACCTTTTTAAAAAAAAACATTCCTCTATACTACCCCATCTTTGGGCCCATTATGCATCGGAGGGTCCCACTATTGTGCTTCAACTACCTTTAACTATACTGTGTATCCCCCCCTTATATATCCCCAGGGGCGTATCTGCCGCGAGGCAAACAAGGCGTTTGCCTGGAGCGGAGCTATCCAATTTAGTGAACTTTGCGTGATTTGTATAAATGTATATTCTCCTAACTAGTATTGTGTGTGGTTCGTGTTTTTATATAATATCCTTCCTTCTATTCCTCTCCCTTGTCCCCATCTCTATATTGTTGTTTTGTGTATGTTAAAATGATTAAATGTATGATTGTTAAAAATGTAATAAAGAATTAATAAATAAACAAGCTATTGAATCATAAGGTGAACTTAGGTTTTCATACATGGCTTCTCCATTTTGGCTTTATGTTTGTAAAATAAATAATGACCATAATGTATAATATGTCATGTGTTGTTCTTCATCTGAGGTTGTATTTACCTAATTTGAAGACATGCTCAGGACCAGATGATTTTATTATGTCTTAATATGTAAAACCCTAGAATTCAAAGAGGGATTACTTTCTTTTTCACACAACTGTATGTACTTTGGCAGGTTTTGAAGTTAATAGCTTTTGGTCCCTGTTCACACGCTCAAAGATAACACGTCAAAACTCACAACAGAAGAACTCCTATTCATTTCTATGCAGCAAGCTGTAAAAACGTTGCACGCTGGAAAAGGTGTGAGCTTCTTTCAGGCAGATCCAGCACGTTTGTGCTCCATAGATTTCAATGGAAAACGCGCCAAAAAACGCACGTTTGCTCTTTTCGCGCATTTTTGTGCAAAAAGAACGTACGTTTTTAATACACTGTGGAAGGCCACCTGCAAAGCACACTGGGAAACAAAATGGATGATTCATGTCTGTCAAATTTGGATTCTGAGGCATTTTTTAGGCTAATACAGGCACAACCATGCCTGTATGACCTGTGGAACCCCCTTTACAAAAATAGAGGATGGAGGAGGCAGTCCTGGATGAATAGTGCTTGCCAGATTTGGCCAGAATTTTGAATCTTTCCCTCCATCTCTGAAGCACAGCAAAGGTAAAACGTGCATGTGACATGTGGTGCATCTAAAGTTTGTTATGATACTGTTGTATCTTATGTTTCTGGTTGCTTGTGTGGCTATTGTAGGACTGTGAAGCTGCAGATCTTCATGTGTTGTGGAACTACAAATCCCAGTATGCAGCTACCTCTGGTTGTCATGCCTGTTTCTTTTCTGGATGTACACAGGACTTGTAGTTCCACAGCTGCTGAAATGTTGGTGTTGTTAACCCCTTGGCTAATGTGTAGGAGTTAAGAAAATATTGTCATTAGGATTCTGCATATGCATTGCTACCCATAGCTACCCATATCTTGATGATAACAACAAACAGGAACAGGAATTATGTCATGGACTTCTTTTAATTGGAAAACGCTCAATACACCCATATGCAGAAACACATATGCGCATCTATTTAGGGGAAAACGCACAAAAAGCGTACACAAACGCACAAAGGAAATACGTGCGTTAATCGCACGGAAACGCTAAGCCTA